GTTAAGTTGGCAAGATGTGTGCATAACAAACCAAACACAGCTTATTTTCCAAGCGTTCACAAGCTGTCCGCTTAATAATCTGCTTTTGAATTCTGCCAGCAATCTGATAGCAGAAGTGATGGATGCCAAGCCCGTTGGTCTGCTTTCTCGCTGTGAAAATACCAACAAAGCCACCTTCCAGCTCTGGCTTCTTGGTGTTTCTCTGCTGTACTGCGATCAGAGATCACAGGCAGTGGGTCTGCAGCCCCACTTGTACTCTCTCCTATCTTCGGGGCAAGGCCATGAGCACCTCTGATGGGGATCCACTGAGTCCACCAGGCTCTTGTCCACTCTCCCTCCCAGACTCCAGGCTCCAGACCCCTCCGATCCATTTCAGTCCCAGCTTTCGTCAGAGGAAATGCATTCCTGTAACAGAGAAGGCAGAAGTCCCTAGGAGTGGACTCATTCTGTTTTCTCCATCATCTGCTCCCTCAGACCATCTGCCCAGCAGTGGGTATAGCTCCCCCAACCTTGTCCTGTCTTCAAATGTTTAAAACAACCACTGTGTTTTACTTAGCATTTTCACCAGCCTCGGCCACTCTCAAATGCAGCCTTCCTGGCTCTAGTCTTCCGTCCCCCTGCCATCTTTACTTACATTGGTGGCTGTGGACCCACCGGTACCTTTCAGTCAATCATGTCATCTGAAAATCTCAACTAACACAATCTAGAGCATGGAAGTTGCTTGCCTCCATCACTAGGATTATGTAGATTTGAAACAATGAACTGTTTTTTAGAGCACCACCATCCCCCAGCCCCGACAGAAATCATGTTTTCTAGAATGCCTGCAGGAAAAGCTAGCGAGTTTAAAGTTTATAGGCTACATCTATCACAGTGAGATTCTAACATTGATTGCTTTTATTATTTTCATTTTATAAAGGGAAGTGAGGCCCAAAGTAATGACCCTCCAAGATCACACAGTTATCTAATGGTGGCCTAGGAGTGTGTTGAATCAGATCATCTTAGTGAAAAATCCAAGCTCTTGACCTCCCTACCTTCCTGAGTGTCAAGGCTAGAGAGGCAAATGTGGTCACAAAAGGATGGGAGCAGGTCCTAATGGTAGTGTGTGCTGGAACTCTGGCTCCTGAATGATGAGAGGAAAATGGTCCTTGGAGTCTGCTACATAAGGTTTTGAGGAACTTCCCTGAAGCCATTCAATCATTTATTCATTCACCCAACACCTGCCCTGCCCACAATTCTCAAGTGTCCAGGTAAGGACCTTAGGCTTTCAACATAGCTAACCTGTTCCCTTCCACATCCTCCATGGAAACCCAGGACACCTGGGTCCCCTCAGAATCAGTACCTTTAAGTTTCATCTTTTTTGTAGTAAAGATTTCTGGACATTTTGAGGCTGTTTCTGCTATAGACACAAAGGGCTCACAGTTCTTTCCTTCATAAGGTCTTTGAGTTATCTTAGTAAAGAGGAAGCAAAATATATCCTCTGTGGAGAGCATCTCATTGATTCCAGGAAGGACACTTGAGCCAGCCTGCCTGGGACTGAGCAAGGGCCACATTGATCCCAAGGATGTGAAGGACTTGAGAGAATTCCAAACTGAAGAGTCCAGCAATATTCCAAAGTGGCTAAAGGGGTTGAGTGTTAGAGACCATGTGCATCTATCTCTATGACAGTATGGTTGGTAGAAAGGAGATAAACTCAAGGGGACAGGCTTCATCCCAGCTAAGTAACAGCCAAGGCACGCAAGGTCCCCAGATTTCAGTTCCTGCATGTGTACAACAGGGCAAAGAATTTGAAGATGCGAGAACTTGTAGGCTCATGTAAGGTAAACCCCTAAGAGCTTTGTAAGTTACAATCTTCACATGAGCAGATGCTGAGTTTATTTTTTACCTTTGTTATCAGACATGAGAGCCTGTTGCTCTTCTGTTTCAAACTTACCTGTGGCTCCTCGTGTGCTTGGACTCTGATCCAAACCCCTCACCACCACATACTGGACACTGAATGCTGTGTCCTGCCTGTCTCCGTAGTCTCCAGTTATAACGCTCCCTCTGTGGGTGCAACCCTGAGGGCCCCTTGACAATTTCTGGAATGAACTATTTTTATTACCAAGGACTCTTTACTTTCCCATCCTTCTGCTAAGTACACCCAGTTTGAGTTGTTTTATGTGACTGGAAGTTACATCTTACATCTCGTCTCAGTGGAGGCCTTTCTTGACCACAGCGCTTACCTCTGTTCTCTTCATGGAAACAGCCACATGCCAAAGAGTTGTTATGATTTTAAATAAATATTTTAATTCTTTGAGAATTCCATATAATATATTTTGATCATATTTATCCAGATCCACCCTGTCTTGTTAGAGTTTCTATTGATGCAATATAACACTATGATCAAAAAACTTGGGGAGGAAAGGATTTATTTCAGCTCACAATTGCTGGGTCACACTCCATCACAGAAGGAAGTCAAGATAGAAACTCAAGACAGGAACCTGAAGGCAGGAACCGAAGCAGAAGCCATAAAGGAACACTGCTTACTGGCTTGTTCTTTATGATTTGCTCAGCCTGCTTCGTTATACAACTCAGGACACCCTACCCAGGGTTGGCACTATCTAAATTAGGCTGGGCCCTCCCACATCAATCACAAGTATAGCGAGCCACCGGTATTTGAGCAGCGCTACAATACTTCACAATGATCCGAGGTGAAGGGCTAAGGATGTAGCAACTCATTCTTACAAGGAGAATGGCATTTATTATTACAAGGGTGGAGCCTTAGATACCAAAGGCAGGTATGGTGGAAAAAACACCAAGGTCAGAAGCCTATGTTCCCAGGGCCCTCTGGCAAAGGGTGGGCCAAAAACAGGAATTAGCATTTAGACAAAGGATGGATGGAAAACAGGAACTTGCATGCAGGCCTTACTGGGAAGAGGGGACAAGAAGTATTTTGCTAAAAGTTCCTAGTTACAAGCAGTGAACAGACCCCCATGGGGGAAGGGTGCAACACACAAGAAAACACTATACAGACTTGCCTAGATGTACTTTCTCAATTGAGAATCCCTCTTCCAAAATGCCTTTAACTTGTGTCAAGTTGACATAAAACTAACCAGTGCACATCCCCCACATTCCTCCCTGCCCCAACTCCCCACCCCCTTTTTTGGTTGTTGTTAATTTAATAGTTCATCCATTCCAATCTGTACTGTCCATATATTTCTGGGTGTGGGGCCACCTGTAGGTTGTGATTGAAATAAAACTAACTGTCCCTCCCTCCTCCAAAGCCATCAGATATCCATATCTCCTCAGGTAGGGGTGGGGACTCATGAACCACATCTCACTCCATGCTAAAAAGTTGGCTAGCTTGATCTTATGGAGGCAAGCATAGCTGCTGTGAGTTCATGAGTGCTGCCATTCTGTCATGGTCAAAATACATACTTGCTTCAATCTTCACCAACCTCTGGGTCTTATAGTCTTCCTGTCCCCTCATCCATGATAGTCCCTGAGCCTTGGGGAGGAAATATGATATAGGTACCTTATTAGTGGCTGAGCACTCCACAGTCTCTGAACTTTGACCAGTTGTGAGTTTCTCCATTAACTACCATCTACTCACAAGAAAACTTCTCCAATGTTGTCTGAGAGCTTCAATAATCTATGAGTATAGAGATAAGAATTTAGAGGGCAGTCTGAGACTGTGTCCATCTAGAGAAATAATACCAGTAAGTTCACACCTGGGGCCTATGAGCTTCTCAGCCATGAGTTCTTGGCCAAATTTACAGAACCAAGTATGTGTTGTCCAATTTGTGCTATCCACATATACATATGGGTGTGGAGCCACCTCTAGATTGTGGTTGACCTAAGAGCCGTATCTTCACAGAAGACTGTCTCTCCCCACCAAAAGCTGTCAAATGTCCACAGATCCTTCTTTAGGAGTGGGGACTCCTGTAGTTCAGGCCTTAAACCTAAACAAAGGTTCTTGGTTGCCACCATAACATTCATTCTGCTTAGTTATCCATGGGCGAATCTTGCCATGCTGGCCATTATTGGAGTTCACAGAGTTCACAACTGAGTAAGACTGTTGTTATTGACTCCTCCCACTCCCCCAGTCCCACCCAGAAGCCTGCAGATCACTTTCTAGCACTATGCGGAAAGCTGGCCAGCAGGGAGGAAGCTTGCTGGTCAGTACCAACTTGATTTCTCCATGCTTTTGACCAATGTGTATGGTGTCTTCAGCAACAGAGTCTTACCAGGTTGAACCAAGAGCAATGGCAATATCTCTTGTTGTTGTGGGGGAGCTCCAAGACAACTTAACTGACAGCTCAGAGAGAGATATCCTATACTCAGCACTGGGTATTTTATTTGGCAACCTGTAGCTTCTGGGAGGAGCATTAATACCTATGCAGATAACTGCAATTAAACTTTTTTGTAACTTAAGTTATAAAATAGGAGGTTGCCATATCGTTTCTTCAAACATCTTTGGAGTTAGTTTTCCCTCACCCACCCCTCCTTCCCTACCCCTTTATTCCCCATCCCACTTTCCCTCCCTGTTGTTCCCCTTCCCCATTCATATTCATATCACCTATGTGCCATTATCCTCCCTCCCTTAAGATCTGTCTTCCCCCTCCACACCAATGGTCCCTTTCTGGTTTTCTGGATTCTCCAGATACTCCAAATTAAACGCAAACTAAGACTTGATGCTAAAACCCATATATGAGTGAGAACATGTAATGCTTGTCTTTCTTGGTCTGGTTGCCACCAAGTTTTTTTAATGTCATCATGCACTCATGTGTGGCCCTTTTTTATGGGAAGTTGGCTCCATGAACATAAAAGTTTTGCTTCTTTTGCTCTAAGATGTATCACTGAACCCCGTGTATAGTAGGTGCTGTGAAATATTGATGAATAAATGAATGAATGTGTGAGTGAGTGAATAATTGGCTGGGAATCCTCACTTGTTTCCCAAGTGGCCCTTTACTTCCTTACATCTTCTCTCTTCCCTGCCACATCTCTCTCCCTCTCTCTTGCAGATATGGAGACATGGTGCCTAAGACAATTGCAGGGAAGATATTTGGCTCCATCTGCTCCCTGAGTGGTGTCCTGGTCATTGCTCTGCCAGTCCCTGTGATAGTCTCCAACTTTAGCAGGATCTACCACCAGAACCAGAGAGCAGATAAACGCAGGGCGCAAAAGGTAAGCCTCAGAAACAGGGCTGGGGGGGAGGAGTAAGAAGGGCGGGAGACTCAGACAGGCTTGCCAGGCCTCAATTCTTTGGAGGATCCCTACACAGACTCCCTCTGGCTCGGAAGGATAAGGAGACTCCATGTCTCCTCCTGCTCACCAGTGTCCTCAGTTCCAGCCCAGTCTGCTGCTCCAGAATACAACAAACCCTCACTATTGACAACTGGATTGTCCTTTTAAGTAGTCTATCCAACTGGCCCGTAGCTCCGCTTCTACATGCCCAGCCATGGCCACCAAGCAGCTACTGTCTCCTCCTTTTCCCATCCCAGAGCTTTACCAGAAAACAAAATGTCATTTCAATATCCCGCTGAGGGTCTATACATAAGTAAGTGACAAAAATAAATGTGCAGAAAGGAAAAAATGAACACTGTGAGAGGAAAACACTCTGTGGCTGTGGCCACTGCATTCTGGGTCAAGTGGAACATTAAATGTCAGGAAGCACCAGGGTGCTGTGTAGAGTCATAGAACTCAACCGATGGAGAGTCAGCGTCAGGCCTGGGCAAATTTCTAAGTTCTGCCAAGTGTTTACTTAGGATGATAGGTTACGTGAAATCTTGTCTGCTCATACAGAGCCAGATGTCTACAGGCTGGTGTGCGCAGATGCCCCTTCTGCTCTTGGTCTTCGGGCTTCTCTCTGAGATAGCACAGCCACACCAACTCCAAGGCTTCTTCCAGACATGGTCCCTGCCAATGACTTTTGCTGGGGTCCTGTATTATTAACATTTGCATTGTTGTGACAAACACCTGTCATACATAATTAAAAGAAAAATAATTATTTTGACTCACAGTTTCAGAAGAATTAGTCTGTATGCTTGGTCCCAAACATCACGGCAGCAGGGGGAGTACTTGGTGGAGACTGTTCTTCACATCTTGATGGACAGGTGGCCAAGAGGAGGGAATTTGTTGTTTGTTTTTTGTGTTTTTCCATCTGAGTCCATAGACCACAGTACCACTCACATTAAAGTGGGTCTTCCTCTGTTAATTCTCTATAGAAACGCTGTCACAGACACTCCCCGGGGTGTGTGTGCCTCACAGTCTCCTGGATGGTTCTCAATTCAGTCAAGTTGGCAAAGACTAGAAGTGAAGGGATATCAGGGTGGAGGGGGTTCTACTTCCCTTTCGATCCAGGCCGAACATGGTACCCTTATTGTCTGGGGCTCTGAGGGCATGGTCAGTCTCTGGATACAAAGGACTGAAGGGCACCTTTTTGGAAGATTAGCTTAGACACCACAGGGATTTTGCTCTCTGTGATGTATTTCTTCCTTCCCTTCTCTTCTACAGACATTCACATCAGCACCTTCCATGTGACAGGCCCTGCAGCTAGATTACTTGTTCCCACTTGCAAGAATAATCCCTGGGTAACAGGGCCTGATACTGGACAAAGCAATCTAGAACCTCAAAATAGGTCTGTGTGTACAGACTGGGGCAAAGCCACAAGTTTAAGCTAACTCTTAAACAATGGTTGCATAACAATTTACATAGGACAGTAAATAATATAACCATACCGTAAGCCTACTTGGTCCCCATATCCCAAATATGACCACTTGTATGTCCTTGTGTCACCTCCTCCTTACCCTCCTGCCCCCCAAACATGTGCCTGGTCTGTTGTCGCTAGCTGTAAAGTCTTTCTTCTTACATCCTCTGTCTCCTCCACCATCTATCTTCACCCAAGGTCAAGGTCTCCCCACTTCCAGACACTCCAAAAATGGAAGTCATCTTATCTCTCCCAGCTCAAGTCAGCTGGCAAATGTGAACAATGCCTGAATTCATCACGCAGTTCTAAATAAAGGGGCCGAGGAAAACTGGGCTCCCACATCCAAACTCTGAGGTCCTGAGGGCCAGGGAATCCTGTGGCACACTCTGTCCCCACACCCCTTAAACCTGGTCAAGCACAAACCCTTTCCGCACAGCTGGTAGGGTTCTCAGAAGTGCCCGGCTCAATTGTGACAGTCCCTCCAGAGGCAGCTGTGCTCCCCTCCCTGGCTACACTGTTCCTACTTCTCAGGGAAGCTCCTCTGCGAAGACTAGAACAGTGAACGTTTCCCACGGACTCTGCAGAGCTTATTGTGTTCACTTAAAGTCCAGAAGGACCGACTCTGGCTTTCTCCTCCCTCTGAGCTACTCAAGATGAGCCCTGCCTAGCCCTTTTCTCTCTCCTTTGAAATAAGTAAATATTTACAGTGTTTTCCCCAGCCAGGATACTGTTTCTCCTCAAGGTTGCACAGCTCTGTCTCTTTCACCTTGGGCTTCCTGTGAGAGGAAAAAAGCAATACTGTCTGCTTCCAGCACTCAGTCTGTCGTGGTAAGCCAAGGCTAGGCGGGCCCAGGGGACTTGGTGAGAGTAGAGAGAGACGGGACAGGGAGGAGGTCACAGGAGCTAATGATAGCCCTTAGCTCTGACCATGTTTCTGGGAGCTGCATGGGCATCAGAGTAAGCTCCAGCTAAGGTGCCTTGTTGCTAAAGGCTCCAAAAGAAATTAGTGTCATCACATCTGGTCGTGGAGACTGTCTTCCCTAGGCCAAGAGAAGCAGAGATGACTCAAGGTTGTCTAGCAGAGGTACCTGGGATAGGGCCTGGAGAGGCCACCCCCTGTCCCAACTCCACCCGTGTTTTTTGGTCTCAAGGGAGATTGTTTTAGTTTTCCTTCATTTTTATTTTTGTTGTGCTGGAGATTAAACCCAGGGCCTTGTGTCTAGCAAGTAAAAATACTCTATCCCTTAACTACATCCCGGCACCATATCCTTTGTTTTTAATGGAATATTTTATTGGAATAATTATAGATGATGTAGTTGCAAAAAAATATGTCCTTTTTGTACTGTGTCCAGTTTTGTCTAATGGTAACATTCTATAGAGATATATGGGGCATAAAGGGTTTAAAGGGTATGAAGTCACCCCTCTAACCCATGTTGCCCAGATCACCCCAGTTTGTGGGGGGGGTGTTTCAGTTCCTTCACTCAGTTCCTACAGACCCAGCAGCTTCATGACTATAAGATTATCTATTTCCCACATGATAATCACACTCCTGCTATATCTCTACCCACCCCTTACTCCTGGAAACGATTTGCCTGATCTCCATTTATAAAACATTTTCATTTCAAAAAAGTTACATAAATGTATTCATGCAGTTGGTAACCTTTGGGAGTTGACTTTTTTCATCCATAGAATTCCCAGAGACTAGTTCAAATTATATCACTAGTTCCTTATACCAGACCTAGTGGTGCAGGCCTGTGATTCCAGATACTCAGGAGGCGGAAACAGGAGAATCACAAGTTCAAGGTCAACTTGGGCTACAGCATCATCCCAAGCCAGCCTGGGTTTACATCAACATAAGTCTTAAAGTCTCTCTGGAAAATGTGTAAGTGTCCAACTGCCTGGGTTTCCATTTCTCACCTGTCTTCCTTCAGCCTCTCTCAGGACAAGAGATGCAAAGACTCGTGTCCAGGCAGTCCCTGCCAGTTGCCAGCTAGAAAGTCCCAGTTGTGCCAGGTTCTGCAGGGGGTCTCCAAACGGTCTTGATCAGTAATGGTGGCAGGCCATGTCCAGGGCAGACAGTATTGTACCATATCTCTCCTCCAACCCCAAAGCTCCAGTTATCCTGTTGAAGATGCAGATTGCTGGGCTTTTCCCTTCAAGTTTAGAAATGTACCTGAAAGGAGATGAACTCAAGGAGGAAGGAGAAAGACACCTTGCATTTGACTTCCGGTTTGGAGGACATGAGCTGAAACCTTTCTAATCCATTCCCTCACCCTGGCTGAGTGTCTCCCCCCCCCATGCACTCCATTTTTTAAATCAATTCATTATTATTATTTGACCTTTGAAGCAACCTAAATGGCTGCTACATTCTCCCATCTTTCATGGTGTCTTCATGGTTGTGGATGAGAGGGAGTGGAAGTTGATCAGTCCACACAAAGACTGAGCCTGTTACAAGGGCTTTATAAACATAGCCTTCCAGCCAACCATGCAGTTTTCCTTCTTTGGCTACCAGAAGCTTTGCTTGAACTCTTGTTCAGTGCGGAGCATGCACCAGATGCTGGCAATAAAAGAATGTGTCTAAGTCTCAGGCTCTGACCCCCAGGAACGCAAAAGCAAGCAGAGAGCACCACCAAGTTTCACACACTAGATACCATTCTGAAAACCTTCCTCAAACCTCTGTTCCCGTTTGGGAATGATTAAATGCTACGGTGTGTTTGATGTGACAATCTTCTACCTTAATAGAATCCAGAGTGAGATAAGATTAAAAGAAGCGCCTCAGAGGGGAACAGGAGAACCTTTCATCTCTGCAAAGTAATAAAGACAGACCCTACATATGAGAAAGGTCTGGCTCTAAGTGGCAATCAGATTACATAAGGCTGTAATGAGCTTGGCACAATTGCGTTTCCATACGCAGCTCTCAACACCTAGCCTTCTCCCAAAGTGACAGCAGCCATTGCCGTGACTTATGAGGAACTCACTTGACTGTAAACATCTGGCCATGGGAGGGCTGCTGCAGGGCTCCTGGGGAGACTCATCCCAGACTTGGAATGAATGAATGTTTTTGCTCAGAGACAAGGAGGTGACATGGCTGCTGGTTTGCTGTCTCATATCTTCCTTTTCATGCTCCCATATAGAGGAGTAACCATTCTTGACTTGCAGGAGGACCTTCCAACTCAAGTGTTAGCCTCTTTCCCACGTCTATAGACCAGGGAAAGAGTTTAATTGTTTCTGCAAGGAGATACTAGTGGGTGGGGGAATTCCCAGGAAACAGGGAACATAATTATGATCCTTCTGATAGTCCGTGGCCTCCTCTTAGCAGATGAAGCAACCCAAACAGGATAGCTGGGAGAGGATAAGAAAAAGGGAAATCGCCACAACTTCCCAGAACCTTTCTATCAGGGCCCAGGTTCAAGTTACATGTCACCACACCCAGAGGCAAAAGAGGATCCTCCACTCCAGACTGGGACTATGGATCTCATAGGTTCTTCTGCTTCTCACAGAAATAGCTTGGAGCTGGTTCTAGATCTACAGAGCCCAGGCTGTGTACTCCAAACCCAAGGGCTTTTCTCCAGTACCAGACTGAACTTCATGGTCCTCTCTTTTTGCTATACTGTTTGTCATGGCTGGTAGTCATTAGAAAAAAGCAAAAGAGTGACCAGCATATATCACAGGGCCAGCCTCTCCCATTCCCTCAGCAAACAAGTAAAGTGAGCTAGGCCCTGCCTCTGGAGCCCAGTTGTCTGCTAAGGGTTTTCCCAGGGAGGGTTTCAGTTCTGTACTAGGTAAAACCAAACTGGTCTCTTGGAATGTGTCCCTTTCTGGCATATACACACCAGACACCTCTGTGTACACTGGACCCTTCCCACTCCTGTGGACAGCACAGATATATATATTGACACAGCCATCAACTCCCCAAGTCGGTGGTACACCTATAAATACATTGCTTAACTTTAAAAAGAGAGAGAGCCTCCTGGTAACAAACAAAGCAAAAGCAAACAGCCTGCCCTCCGGGAGCTTACATCCTAGCCCACGACAGAAGTGTGTGTGCTACCCCAGTGATAAGTGCTAGAAGAGAAACAGACAATGGAGTTAAGAGTGCTGGCAGTACCATTGCTTTCTCCGCTTCTTCTCATAACTAAGTGTTATTTGCGAACCTACAGCACATGGAGAGCCAACCACACTGGAACCCAGGAGAGAATGAGGACAGTTAACACATACTGTCCCCTGGGAACAGTCCAGTCTCCTTAGAGATAGGGAACAGTAGAATGGCTCATACCATTGTGCAATAATTAGTGGAAAATGTCAGAAAACTTTAGGAGAAAGAACTTGAAAATACGGTATTTCTGCCACAAATATTCCACCCAGGCTGAAGACTTGTGAAGATTCCGAGAGTCCTGGCCATGGCTGACCTGCAAAAGTGGACGCACAGGTCTCAGATCCATCCCAGGCTCTATGGACAGAGATGCATAAGGCTAAGACAGGGTAGCCTATTTTCCCTTCTCACACAGTGTTAAGGAAACCAGCCTCAGTGGGGCAGCTGTTGACACTAGCTCTGCCGGGCTTGCTCTTCTTGTGTCTTATTGTCTCTCTTGTTGTCTACCCATCACAGAAGGCCCGCCTTGCCAGGATCCGTGTGGCCAAAACAGGAAGTTCCAATGCCTACCTGCACAGCAAGCGCAACGGGCTCCTCAATGAAGCCCTGGAGCTGACGGTAGGTGTCCGTAAGTCCTGGCAGAGGAGACAAAACCAGAAACAGGCTTGTTTGCTCATCCACAGGTACCAGCACTCCCCCAGAAAGCTCCAGTTTATGGACTCTGAGAGAGACATGGTCCCAAGTGTTCCCACGGACACACTGCTCTCATGGAATTACCACCACTGCCTATAAACCAGCTGATGACAAGGGCCCCCAGACCAAGGCCGGCAGGTTTTATGGTGGCCCTAAGATTTGGCTTATCGAGATTTTTTCCCATGCCCTTCTGTGAGGAAACAAAGAGGCTGAAGAGAGAAGACCCCAGTTATACTTAGCTCTTCTTTCTTCCTCACTAGGGCACCCCAGAAGAGGAGCACATGGGCAAGACCACCTCACTCATCGAGAGCCAGCACCACCACTTGCTGCACTGTCTAGAAAAGACCACTGTGAGTTCCAGCCTGCCGCCCCCTCCTGCTTCATCCCTGACCTCCCAAAGCTGCACTCACATTGTCATCCTAGGCCAGGTAGTCAGACTGTCCCCTTCCAATCCAAAGGAGTAAATGGCAAGGTCCATCAACACCCAGGATGAGGACCCCAGGGCGTGAGTCAAGGTCACTAGAGTGAGACATCAGCTGTGTCCTGCAGCTGTACAGAAAGGCCACCCCCATAGCCTCCCCATTCCTCCCTAACACCAGCATGTGTCTTAATTACTGAGAACTAAGAGTTTCGTTTTTCATTTCTCAACAAGACTCACACTGAATTTACACAGGACAGTAGAGAAGATGGAAGATTTCTGTTCCACCCCTGTAGCTGGGTTGAGGCAATCCATGGGTCCCATTGTTTCTACATTAATGAGGGGGACAGTATGTTTATTTTTTTTTTTTAGTCAACAATTTATCAATCCCGACCGCACTTAGTAACCTTGCATTTTTTCAGGGAGTTCAGATTGTGAAAGGCTGATTGCTAAAGGAGATCATGGCATAGGGTGCCACAGCTGGAACGGGAATGATGCTTGTGCCTTACTGACAGCCTGAAAGGAAGGGCAGTAGGGCCAACCCTGAATCCTTGGCAAAAGTGCTAGGAACAGTAGGGTGGGAGAAGTCAGAATAGAAAAGCTAACGTGAACCTCTTCCTTGTTCCTTTCCAGAAGTTTCATACCCAAAGAGCCTAGAGTCAGGGCTCAGCACACCTTGGAAAGGAACTTCCTAATTCCTAGTAGCCTGGTCTCCAAAATTTTAGATACCTCTTCCTCTGAGCCAAAAATGGATTCCATGGATGACCGTGGAAATCCAGTAAAATCTTCTAAATGAGAAAGTGCTCTGCAAGCCCAGGCCCCAGCATCTATGGTCAAAAACCATGGTTGCATATCTAGAAGTTCTCTCAAGGACACGGAGCTTGCCAATGGGATAGGCCCAGACCCCACTGCCCTTTCCAAGTTGCATGTGCAGGGTGGAATGTGTAAATTAAAAGGACATGGGGGGAAACACTGGGGTTTGAAGGGCTGGAATGTTGGCATTTGGGGGGCTGAGAGGTGGAATGCTGGCAGTGAAGGGGTGGAATGCTGAGTCTGAGGCAATGTTGGATTGATGGTAGGGATGGCATATCGGAATGCTGGATTTGGGGGGAAGGAATGTGGGACCCAGAGGTGGAATGTTGGGATAGGAAGAGAAGAATGTTGGTATGGAAAGAGTGAATGTTGGGTTAAGCAGGCTCCTATTGGAACCAAGGGGTGAGATGTTGGAAAAAGGGAAACAGAATGCTGGGAACGAGGGCTGGAATGTTGAATTTGGAGGGTGAAATGCTGGGATGGAGGAATTGAATGTCAAAACTGGAATGCTGGAATGTACAATCAATGGTGTTTCTATCTTCTGTTGGCATGTTGTCCTGTAGGGGTTATCCTATCTTGTGGATGATCCCCTGTTATCTGTACGAACCTCCACCATCAAGGTATAGCTTTATAAATTCAATTGTTCTTCTCTCTGAATCTTGAGTCTGTGGATTTACTCTGCTTACCCCTAGTCTGGTTTTCTGCATGTGCTGCTAATTCTCCCTGGCTTTTGCTATCTCTACTGCCACACCCAGTACCAGCTCAGGCTTCCACTGTTTCTGCACCCAAACTACCCAATTTCCTTTCCTATTCTTGCCATTGACATCCCCGGGGGCTTAGAGGTCAACTTCAAGGTCAGTTTCCTCTGGAACGCCCATGCACCACATATCTCTATGCTACGCCTCAGTTTCCTGGGAACTCCTGGTATTGGCTGCCAGGGGGCATTTTCTCTGAACTCTATCCTTACACTTCTCTTTCTCCTCACACTATCAATGCAACAGAGTTTTAGTCACTTTGGTCAAGCAACCATTTTTCCATTGTTCTGGGTTTAGCTATAAGCCACCCTCATGCCCTACAGACAGGAAGCTGTTAACATTCTTTCCCATGCTTACATTTAACCCAGGGAATTCTGAACTGCCAGGTAGTTAAGGGTCCACATGCCATAATCAGGCAAAAAGAAAACAAAATTAGGAGAAATCTTATCCTTAGCAGTTTGACACCTTTGCGTTCAAGAACAATGCTCCCCCAATTCTGTGAATGGTCCAAAACCTGTACAAATTTCTGTCACACCTGTGATAGTCATCGGGTGTGCAAAGAGAACCTAGAAGACTCATGTTCAGTGACTTCAGCACTTACTAAGAAACGTTTGATTCTAGCTCTGATGATGCCACTAAGTCCCTCCACGTCCTCTGTGTCCCCTTCTGCTCAAAGCTGTAGATGGAGTATATGACACATGATGATGACTTAACAACTGTGTCCCTGCCTGGTCTAATGGCCAGGGAGGCCAATTTGATTCTTTTGACATTGACACCTGTGAAAACAAAACCCCTCACACACACTTATCTGTAATCCAGACATCTGGGGGTCCTTCATTAAAGGCCCCAAACAGACAGGCAGCCCTACGGAGACTGGGGCTCCCCGCCTCCCTTCTTCTTTTTCACTTCCTCTCCTTCCTCCCACAGAACCACGAGTTTATTGATGAGCAGATGTTTGAGCAGAACTGCATGGAGAGCTCAATGCAGAACTACCCATCTACCAGAAGTCCTTCTCTGTCCAGCCATTCCGGCCTTACCACCACCTGCTGCTCCCGCCGCAGTAAGAAGACCACACATCTGCCCAACTCCAACCTGCCAGCCACTCGCCTGCGCAGCATGCAAGAGCTCAGCACGATCCACATCCAGGGAAGTGAGCAGCCCTCCCTCACCACCAGGTGGGTGGCTTCCTTTCCCGCCACCCCCAAAGTCTTGAGTCATTCCCTTTCCAGAATTAAACAGGCTCCACACTAGACCCTCAGGGACCGCGCCCCTAGTGGCTCCCCTTGTGTACTGCATGGGGCCCCTCTGCTTTCCTCCTGCCTGCCGTCCCATGCTTTAAAGTTAATCCAAGGCTCTTCATGGGATATTGGATGATACTAAAACCGCAGCAGTTTCGGTCAACAGTAGGGGGTTAGGGGAAAAACTCCGAAAGAGTCCAAAACTTGAAAAGATGGACTATAATCGTTTCCCTAAGAAAATACTTCTCCCAACTGCGCTACATATATGGCTTATCCCAAACTAATTGTGAATCACAAACTGACTTTTCCTCCTCCTCTCTGTTTATATTTAAGCCATTTCCTGTTACTTCCAAACCCATTGCAGAGAATTCAGAGAGAGCAAATGTCACAAGTGTTAGGAGAAGCCCACAGGGTGGGAAGAAGTTCTGATGACTTAGTAATTGCTAATAGTGATTAAAATGGCAACTATTAGCTGATTGTTAAAGGGAGCGATCAAGGGCTGTGGAGTCCCTTGATAGAGCGTAGAGCAAAAACAGTGCAGTGGGTCAAGGGAGATTTGGGGCACCCACAAGCAGGAACCATCGCCAACTCACTCTTTTCTATCCCAGTCGCTCCAGCCTTAATTTGAAAGCAGACGACGGACTGAGACCAAACTGCAAAACATCCCAGATTACCACAGCCATCATCAGCATCCCTACTCCCCCAGCTCTAACCCCAGAGGGAGAGAGTCGACCACCCCCTGCCAGCCCAGGACCCAACACGAACATTCCTTCCATAGCCAGCAATGTTGTCAAGGTCTCAGCCTTGTAAAAACACTGGACAGAGGGCCCGAGGGGGCAGTGGGGAGTAAAGGGGGCTGGCATGTGGGTGGGTGGCCAGTAAGACCACTCCCTCCCCCTTTCCCGCTATTTCTGCCTGCCCCGTTGCACCCCTAGCCCTGAGACTTGTGTCTGGAAGGGAAAGGAAGCAGCAAAGGGCACCTGAGGCTCCTGCTGCTGGTGTGGACACAGCCCTGTGACATTGCATCTTGCTGGGGCCAAAGGAAGGGAGGGGGTGGGTATGGGATGGGCCATTAGGGGGTGTAGGCTGCTTGCCTGAACAGGGCCTGGTGAGGGCACCTCAGACCAAATAACAGTTGTTTCTGGAGACCCCAGTGAGGAAAACACAAGACCAAGAGCAGCCCAGAGGCCGAGTCTTCACATGCAAACAGGAAGAAAATATAACACTGTGTATTAAGCACCTTTTTCAAGGATCTTAATGGATAATATTTATTCATGGGAAAAGGTGGAAAACAAAATCATCAATGGATTTTTGTGAAATGTTTTTCTCCATGGACCCAACACCTTTAAACCAAAACAATGCATTTTGTGAGGTTGGTTTTTATTTTTCTCCTTTTATAGCAAAAGCTTTTAGGCTCAAAGTCAGTTATTGCTGAGTTCCCTCCCTGTTCCCAGGAGGAGTGAGGTCACCTTAGCTGGGCCCTCACTGACCAGCTGACCTACACAGAGCTGTTAAGAGACCACACAGCAACCCTTCTGCTCTGTTCATCCGTCTGTCTCCCTTGTCTCTGTACCTATCTGCTTCACCTTGGCTGTTTCTGTGTCCAACCATCTGTGTCACCATGGACAGACAGTAAAGCCTTCTTTGTCACTGCCAAGTACTGCAGAGCTGTGCCTGGGAGTCAGGCTGAGCAAATGCAAACTCAGAAAAGAAAGGAAGCCACGTGGGGCGAGTTGAAGGGAGAGGTAAGTCTACCTTATGAACAGAGGTGCTTCCCTTGGGATTGGAACCACTTGTCTTTGCAGTGATGTGGAGGGAGCTGGAGAATGGTCACGTGATTCACACTGGATCTTGAAAATGGACATAGCGACTTCAGAGAGCAGTCATTTCTGCTACACCCCAGTAAAAACAGAAGCACCACGGCTCACAGCTGCCAGAGCTCCAGGGCACCTTGTTATGTACCCTCCTTTAGGATCCACCATAAAACCCATGCAATGCTCTGTCAAGAGGCTCCGTGAGCATCCTCAAGTAAGAACAAGGGACTTACCACGCCTGAGGCAGTTCCTATACAGAGGCTTCGAAGGTTAAGCCTGTGTGCCTCGTGAAGGATGTTTCAAAGCAAGAAAGCAAGCAAGAGGCTCTAGATGATTCTCTCCTGGTCTAAAAGATGCCTTGAGGTCTGAGTCCTCTTCAGGCCTCATCTCTGAAGATAGCTGGTGTGTGAGAACACTGGTGACCCCCAGTGTTTGTTCAAGTTACTTACATGGTAGTGGGCCTGGGAAACAGTATTTCTGGAATCTTCCTAATCATTTTCACCACTTACAGTGGGGCAGGTGATAGTGACACGAGCCCTTTCCCAACACCAGTTCCTTTCCTTGGGTCTCTGAAGCCTGGGCTCTGTGGAATGGTCTCATCCATTCTACAGCTCACAGACAAGCTGTTCATTTGCAACTCAAAAATCTCTCTGCCTACTCCAGTTTAGATGAGTTTTACTAGCCAGGGGCCTGAAAGTTCTTGTGGGGCTTCCAAGGTTTCAACCCCAGTGATCCTGTGCACAGAGGAATCCAGGTGTTTTGAGGTGGTACCAAACCAGAAAGTGGACAGAAAGGCAAAAGGTGTCCTTATTTCCATCTTTGTCTCTCTGTCCTTGTCCTCAGTGGCTATTGGCAGTCCTTTCTCTAGATCTAGCCTCAGGATTGCCCCTTATCGTGGGAATAGAGTTATTCTTGCAATCCAGTAATTCTATACATATGTTTTATCAGTCAAGGCAGAGAGCCAAGCTGGACCCAGTTTTAGCAGGTAGGCAAAGAACTAGAAAAGGATCTTACTTTTGAAAGAATGTCTGGGTGCATGATATATCCTACCGAGTGGGATAAGGATACAGGGTTTAAAAGGAACACTATTGCATTCACAGACAAGCCACCATTCTATTTTAAAATGTCATTACAGGCCTAGGATAATGACTCAACCAAGGATCTTCTTGTCACTTAGACAGTGCACCAACACAGCATACTATGATTCTCATGAAAAGAAATGTATTTTAAAAACTGTGTCCCAAAAATCCATTTTTATTGACTTGAGTGAACTGAATATTTGTGTTGCTTCTATTTCATTTCCAAAGCCCATATAATGTCAGTTCCTTAAAAAAAAAAGCATTAGACCATCTTCATTTTCATTCCCTCATTGCAGTCTTGGCTGGGGATAAGGGACCCAGCTCACCTGTGCCCAAAGATATCAACCCAGGAAAACAGCTCACAGCCATATATCTCCTAAAGGCTATTTGTGATTAAGTACAGGGGTAAAAGTGTGCTGGATCAATTTAGTAAGTCTGACTCTTCAGCTAGTAAGTGAAGAAACAGGATATCTGCATCTTCTGGAAACCAATAGCTTTCTGGGGCAATGACTCATGGTGCACAAACCATGTTAGAATAACGGAAAACTCCCCACCACCACTCCATTCAACCCTATTTATTACTGGGGAGAGGATATCAAAAAGACAAATATAAAAAACCCTAAGACTACATTCAAATAATAAATGGGAATAACTTGGAAAATATTGAGCATGCGAGACCTCGAGAAGACTAAACAATAGCTAATTCATTTTCCAGTGTAGAAAGCGAGGGCCCAGAGAACTTGACTCCCTCAAGGTAATGTAGCCAGCTAAGGATAGAGTAGGGACCAGAGCACAAGACCCTTGGCTACCAGTCTAATGTGGTTTAGTTTTGTTTTGGGATTTCTGTTGTTGTTACTGTTGTTTTTTTCATCACACCCTTTGCCTCGAAGAGTTAATATGCTGGGGGACGGTCCATCAAAGATGCCATGACATAACTAGAGACACTCTTGCATAAATGTCAATACAACTTGATGTAGTCCTGGAAATCACCTGACTATAATAATACAAATTATAGCCATGGAAGCCACCATTTCCTGGGTAGAGCAAGCTATGGGTGATCAAACTATAAGAAATAAGTGAAAAGGGAATGTCCAAGCTTTTTCAGTCAAATGCTCGATATTCTCAATGAAAAAGAGGCTTGGACAATGGCATTTCAAAGCATACCTTTCTGTTGCTTCTCACTACAATCTGTGAAGGTAGTCAACTCAGCAAATCTTTGATTCAAAGAAATGACCACAAAGAAACTGAATGACTCATCCAAAGTTTCATGGCAAGTTAATGGCAGCATTATGATTTGGTCCAGGACTTAGACATCATGTCCTGGGAGTGTCTTCTATATCCTACTTTATGACTCTAAGGTTTAAAGCTTGATTTCAAGGGTGATGATTGGGGGAAGCATTCCTGAAGTATCAGGACCTCCTGAAACAGACCATTATTTCTTCTGAATTCCCATTTTCCCTAACTAGTCTCAAGCTCAGGACTAATTGTACAAGAACCCCTTTCAAAAGACCAGTAGATATTCTCAACAACTAAACATTATTAGTCTATGACCACATAATTTAAACAGATGTTAAGGAGGATGGTAAATGATGAACTGTGGTTGACAAAAGTCACATACAGAACTGCTGGGGATGTTATACAGTTTGTTTTTTTTGTTTTCCCTGCAGTTCAGGATCAAGTCATTTTCTTGTCAGAATGCAGGTGGGGGAAGTACCTGAGATCATTATATGCCTAGATTGTTTCCCTTGTCTTTTTAAAAATAGCAGTAGTGATTGAAATTGAGCTAGCATTAGATATGAAATTATTAATGGATTCTAGTGATTCAGGCTCCCTCACTTCAATTACTAGGTAACTAAGTAAGGCAAAAGGATCCCAATACCATTCATTTGAAGTAATAGTTTCCCTTTCATGCTAGTTGGCATGGTAACCACCATATGAGGAACATGAGATTTTCATTTTTCCTCTGGTTTTGTAATGAATTCCCGTTACTTGTAAAGCTTTAAAATGATGGGACAAAGGAAAAACATTGTTATGACCCATGACACTTGGAGCCCAAACAGCATCATGAAAAGCATTAGAACCTGGGAAAGTGGCTTTGAAAACGAAGTGACTTTTTAAAGGGGTTCCTTATGGGTCTTGTTTTTTATTCAGGATATTCTATGTTTTCTCATCAAATGTGGGAATGACATTTATCTTAGCAGGTTATTTAAACTATGCTGGCTGATGAGACATTAGCCAGTGCAGGGCACTGACCCAAGTTCTGGGGGACTCCTTGGACCAATGGACTATTTTACAAACCAGGGAGGTGGGAGGGATGGTATATTTTTGATAACCAGACATTCCAATGTTTTCCTTAGAGGTCATGAGCTCCCATTAATGTTCTTGTGAAAAACATGTTCTTTTCTATTTTCATATGATTACTGGGCTTTGCTTAACAACATCACAATGGCAAAGGAATACACTGTACAAAACTGCAGGAAGACAAATGTGAAAACTTTCTGTGGGGGAAGAAAAAGCTCTTAAGTTTCTTGTCTTCTTTTGAAACTGTAGTGCATATGTTATAACATGTATATCATTTACAGTATTGAGTCCTGTGTCACTGCTGTACTGATGTATCCAATCTGGATTAAACAAACTATGTGCCACAAGCCTTGACGTCGGGGAGTTTCTTTTAAAACCAGTTCTTTCCCTTCCAAAAGCATTGCCTTACACCAGGAAGCTTTCTGTCCTGCTAGAGCAATGACATAATCTTACGGTTAAAGGCCTCAGCTACCTTGCCCCATCTCCTTCCACATAAGCAACCCCACTGCTTCCAGGAGCTTGCCTGCCTACATGCTCTGGGCAGGTTCAGTGTTTTAACAGTGGAACACTGGATTGAATTTGCCTACAACTCTCTTTTAAGGACCAATTACTAAACAAAAATCTCTTTTTATATCAATATCAGTTCTACTGAGGTTTCCTCTAATTTGCACCATCTAGACCACGGTCTGAAACAAACCACACATATGCGTGAGCAGGCACACATGTGCGCGTGCGCACACAGACACACACATTAAATACTACAGAGAGTAAAAATCTTAACAGGCAGGAGAAACACAAGCTCAGGTTTGTCACATGTCTGTGACTTCACATTCGTCGCTTTTTACTTCTTCCCTTCAGTTCCTTTCTTAACTTTAAAGGGAGTAGGGACAGAAATAAGTGCTTTTTAAGATCCATCTAACCTTAACAATCCTGAGTATAAGAGAAGCATTTTCATGTTCTGCCCACTAGGTGTCACTAAAGACCCACAGCGCAAATAATCCAGATGAAAACTGGAAAGTACATGCCCTCAGCAACTCTGCCTGCGTCCAGCAATTCTTTTTCATTAAAAAGCACTACATGTGTAAAGCCTTTGCAGATTTGATGCTGAGTTTTGATTCCCAGATTTACAGGGTGGAATTGACTCCTGTTAAGTTATCCTCTGACCTTCACCCATGCACCATGACATGCAAGTGCACACAAAATTAAAATATAATAAAACTGTTTTCTCATTATGTAGCTGTGACTCCTGGAACTATGTACACCAGGCTGGCTTTGAACTCACAGAGATTCATCTGCCTCTGCCTCTGCCTCTGCCTCCTTAGTGCTGGGATTAAAGGTGACTGCCACTATGCCAAACTCCTAATGAAAGTTTTAAAGCACTAAATGTCAAGCAGTATACAAGCACTTGTTCAAAAGATATAAAACAAACACATTCTACTCCAAGACAAGACCTTTGTGACAAGGGTATCAACAGTAGCCCTGAAAAATATGTTAGTTTATATTTAAAGTGAAATAGAAAAAGCCCTCAAAAACTTCTGTTCCCATTCATTCCATTATCTTATACATGACAATCATTCTTCAATTACTTTTAGTATTCTGGCACTGAAGTTTACCTAAAGACACATGCTTTTATTTAAAAAGTCACTAAAGAAGTAACTTGTGGGCTGGGTGGTGGTAGCACACACCTTTAATTCCAGCACTTGGGAGGCAGAGGCAGGCAGATCTCTGTGAGTTCGAGGCCAGCCTGGTCTACAGAGTGAGTTCCAGGACAGCCCAGGACTGTTTCACAAAGAAACCCTGTCTTGAACTCCATCCTGCATCCCTCCACCCCAAAAAAGGAACTTGTATTCTCAGAATTAGCTAAAGAGGGCTGTAGAAATGGCTCAGCACTTAAGGGCACTGGCTGCTCTTCGGAGGACCCAAGTTCCCTTCCCAGCACCCACGTGGCAGCTCATGACTGCCTTCAGCTACAGTTCCAAGGGATCCAACAGCCTCTTGGAGCCTCCATGGGCTCACGCACACATACACATAAGTAGAAAAAATACATATAGATATCCAAAGAAACAGGTTTTCCTAAGATCTCTATGTAATAATAAATGCCTAATTCAAGCTTAACCTGAAGTTACAGAATAAATGGGCTGGAGATTTTGAAAATTCAAGAATTACCTAATTTAGACTTTTATTTACAAATTTGAATTATCTTTCTCATAACATCCTTTCTCATTAGGAGTCATTTAAAACTTAAATCTTACAAAGAACCCTAAAAGCCTAATCCAGGGTCTCATTTTACTGAGAAAGCTGGATTCTGAGAGTTGAGATGCCTGGAACAAAGTTTAAAAGTAGGTAGAATGTCTTAGCCAGGCCAAGTTTTCTTTTTATGAAAGTTGCCAACTGACTTTAAACTGTGCATGGTTCCAAACAGGTTATATGAATACATGCCTAAACTGAAAATTCCTAGCAAAATGCACCCCCCCCTCCACCGCCACCCACCCAGGAAGCCATGTACAGACGGTAGATGTCCTCCACTTTCACCTAGGCAACCACTGCTACCTGGAATGGAAACAGCTTCAATTACCTTGGTACCAACCCATGGAACTTGAGAGTTGTTTTCCATTTTCTTAGTGTGGGAGTTATAAAGTGTGCTCAGTGTGCTTATCAGTTCCTGTCTCAGTCCTGGAACTACCTGAAGCTTGATTTGGGCATTCAGTGCTAACATTTACAGAGATCTTGAGGAAATCTGCTTCTCTGGGTAACTCTGAGAATGCACAAAAAAAAAAAAAAAAAAAAAGGCAAACACAAAACAAACCTATAGAGAATCCAATTAATTCCAAGACTAATGGGTAACCTCATCCCTAATTAAGATGCAGTAGTATCCTAATTAAAATCCCCTAGCAATGACAAACTATGAAGTTGGCTCTGTTGTGGAGAAAGGATAGAAAGAGTTCAATTACATAGTAATGACAGGCTCTTATTTAAGTGTATAATTAAAGTCTTTATATCTTAGTAATACATTGGACCTAATCTAGGTTTGCCAAATTATTTCATCTAACTTCACAATACATGCATATAGCATTGATTTGTCTGTATAATGACCATGCCAAATCACAGAAATCAAGCTGAACAGTTTAAAACTATATCCCAGGGATGTTCCCCATTATATGACAATGGCTGTAGGTATTGCCAACACTAGGATAAAGGGTCTATACTGCTAAAAATGTACACAAAGAACTTTCCTTTTATTTTTTTGTTGTTGTTGTTTTTGTTTTTTCAAGACAGGGTTTCTCTGTATTGTTTTTGGAGCCTGTCCTGGAACTTGCTAGGCAGAACCAGGCTTGGTCTCGAACTCACAGAGATCCCCTGCCTCTGCCTCCCAAGTGCTGGGATTAAAGGCGTGTGCCACCACCGCCCAGCCAGAACTTTCCTTTTTTTTTTTAAAGTAATTTCTCAATACATAAAATCCAGTTCACGGTAAGATCCCAGACCGATGTTCAGTGATAAAAGAACACTTAGCCTCTAATTATAACTTTTTTAAATCATAATTTATAGAGGCACTCCCAGCTCAGAAGAGTGGCAGCTCCTCATAGATCCTAGCATTCAAGAAAAAAAATTCTTTAGAACATACTATGGAAGAGTCAGAACAGAATGAACTCATCTTCTACTAAACACTAAGCACTAGAGCTGGAACTTTCCACTAGCCTACCAGGACTATTGGGTCTGCATCTGTGCAACTCACATCAAGTCTCAACCTGGGTTGCATAAATGCACTTCAGAGGACCTATGACCTGTTGAAATTTCATCCACAATCTCACTTATGGAATGAGAAATTTGAGGGTCAACCTATCTATGGCTTATAGAAGATTCATTTAAAATCCAGGAAGCAAGGAGGATAAGCTGCGCTTCCCTGAACAGCATTAGGTAGCCACAGATGACACCGACCTTTTTTTTTTTTTTTGGTTTTACAAGACAGGGTTTCTCTGTATTGTTTTGGAGGCTGCCGGTCCAGCCCGGCCTCGAACTCACAGAGATCCGCCTGCCTCTGCCTCCCAAGTGGTGGGATTAAAGGCGTGCGCCACCACCGCCGGCTGACACCGACCTATTTAACACAGTGAAATGTGGGCAGCCTTTACAGCTTCTTCAGGAAGATGAACAGAGAGTATACAGGACATTCACCTAAATGTGCTTTCACAGCTAACTGGAAGCAGAGGACATTGAAAGAATCTGTCCTGCCTAAACCTTAAAGATCTTCCATGATCAAATTTCCATGAAAATATACAATGCAGAAATGTACTGTAAACCTTTTGTAAGGAACTGAATAACATTACACTCAAACTTTAACTGTTTTTATTATTATTTTTTAAGTAAGGAGTGCCATATGTCACCTTTTAAAAGGTTTCTTTTGGGAACAACCTACACGAAGTGGCACCTTGGGGGTCTTTAGATCCAAGTTCTAAAAATTCTCTTGCAAATCTGATGAAATTGAAAAAAAAGAATATTCCTGGACCAAGTCAAAATAATCTGAAAAATAGTTGTGTCCCAGTAGAAAGCCTCAAAGTCCTCTCAAGTTCCTCCAAAACACCATCATACCCCACTTGCTCTAGGTGAAGAACACATATCCAATTATCTGTTGACAGTCAATGGTCTCAGGCACATCCTAACATCACTGGTTACTACGCATCATTTCTTGTAGATAAACTGTATTCATATGGTAGGCAGCCATCCAACTTGGATGTCTCTGAGCATTCCAATAGTATGAGTGGGAAGCAGCAGCATAATATTCTTGCCAGGCCCTGTAATACGCTCTCCAGTACTCCTCATAATCCTGGTAGGTATCAGAGAAACTCGTATTTGTTTCCCTATAACAGTCATACCAAGCCTCTTCCTGGGGTTCTGTCTGGGCTCGGTAGGAGGAGCGCCGTGGCAGGTTTCTCCGACTCTGCTTAGATCTCTGGTTAGCTCCTTCTTTATGCCTTGCCTTCATCTGGGTCTCAGGAGATTCTTGATACTCTACCTGAGTTGGGATATCAACTCTATTCAGAACTTGTTCCAAAGAGAGAGGTCCACCCCCAGGTGTACTTTCAGAGTCTTTCAACTGAGCATCAGAAGAGCCTTCCAAGTAAGACTTATTGCCTTTGCTCTGGGAAGAAGTCCTTGAGCTGCAAGAATCGCTCTCACTCTCTGAGTCCCCAGACTGGCTACTACTGGCCAATATCTGTGCTCTATCTTCAGAAACTCTATTTCTCACAAAACCATTCTGAGGATTTACAGTCTGAGCCCCGGGTCCTGTGTAGTGCCGGATAATCTCCACAGGTTTCTCTAACCCCTCTTTAATATAGTGCTCATAATCTTC